TGTGATGTTACAATGTATAAGCTAAACTGTGCTATGGTCACATGTCATAATAAAGATACTTGTACTCTCAGGGAGCTATCCGAATGGAACGTGCCGGCCCTTCGAGTTCTTGCGTCCTCGTAAGACATTTGTTAAAAATACTAATAATATTTCATGTGGCCAAAGCTCATAACAACTGTTCAATCGATGTAAAATAATGAGAGATAATGTTTAAACAATAAGATAATGTAAGCATTTATTTCTAAACTATAAAGACAATTAGCTTTCTATGAACTGTTAGTAACTTCAAAGCTATTCCTGATAATTTTTGTTTCACAATAGTGGTTGCAACCAACTTTTAATTTTGTATTTATAAAATACCAACTCATGAGAAAGACTTAGCAGGTGTTGAATGAACAATATGTAAGAAAGGTGTTGAACGAAGAACTTCACTTCATAACTAGTAGCTAGGCTTAAGAGGACTTACTGATGCCTTTGCTATGCTCTAGTTAGAGAGGCTCAGAACAGCTGTTTACAGCCATTTTCACCTTGAGTGAGCTCATTCTTCACTCTTACTTTGTCTTGTTAATGTTGGTTGATTGATTTGAAAAAAAAAATTGTTTGCAACTTCTGCTTTTAGTTTTCAAAAGACAAAATTTTGTTTATGTCAGGAATAATTTTGAAGCTTAAGTAACTATTTATTTATGTGTTAACATTTTAGAACAACGGATCACTTAAAATCTGCGTCGTTGTCTGCTGGAGCGCTGGTTGCGGCGTGCTGGCATCCAGTTGTGGTCTTCGTCGACTTCGGCTTCGGCTTCGGAGTCAGAACTCCAAGTGTGGCGGGGAGTCTTTTTCGTCCTCCTCTGGCGGCGATTGGAGGGTCCCTCCTCCGGCTCTAGGATCTCGAGCTCGGAGGAGTCGTCGGTCACGGTGACCCACTCCTTGAAGCGGAGAATGTCTGGCTCAGTGTCAGACTCCTTCAAGACCAGCATCTGCTTGGTCTTCTTCGGCTTGGTGACAGCCGGGGTCTCCTTGGGCTCTTCTGGCTCCTTTCTCCTAAGGATCCACGGCTCGGAGTCCGATTCCACGAGGACCAAGTCCTCTCCTGCGTGGTAGTTCCACTCCTTCTCTTCTTCCAGCTTCTTTTCTGCGGCTGTCTGAGGTCGGGAGAAACGTTTTAAGTTGTCCTTATGG